AGCACTTGCGTTCTGAGAGGAGGGTGAGAACATTCTCACCAGTAGACTCACTAAGATGGTTAAGCACATACTTGGCCGACTGTTCAGAAATCAGCCGAAGCATTGCCTTTATGTCCTCTGGCTGACCAGGGTAGTGTGCAGGAACGTTGTGATCATAGTAAGATAGAGTTCTGACTTTCCGGAGCGCAAGATCGAGTAGGACTTCCGCGCAATCATCTATGGTGGAGTCCTCATTCAAAGCGGACTGGAGAGGCTCAGAAGTTTCACCCCAGTTGTTTCGTTTGTCCACACCAAAAGTGACCTGTGAAAGCCGTAGGTGCTCAGCCCACTGATCTGCGCACGGTATCCACGTGTCGTTGATATACTCCCATAGTTCTGGAGATGTATTTATGATGTCTTCAAGACACCTTAGGTAAGTTGAGCGAGATTGGGTTGTTAGTGCTGTATAAAAATATTGGAACAAGACTTTTCGTCCACATTGCATATCTGGATTGATTTGACTTTTTACATCTTTGAGAACCAGTATTTGACGTAGGAGGAGCCTGGCCCATGATAGTTCCTGTCGAACAATATGCGATTTTGCAGAATCGACGTCAATAAAGACGGTTTCCAGCTCATCTATCTTTAGACCCATCAAATTTTTGAAGGCTTTCAGCATGTGCCGAAATATTTTCTCACCCTTATTGAACAAAAAGGCGAAGAAAACTGCTCTCGTCTGCACATCACGGTCAACGATGGATGCACAATATATGGAGTAGGGATGATCACTTGAGAGACGAACCTCCTCAATTTGAATTACTTCCGGATATTGGTGGAACCCTTTTATAAGTTCTGGTGTAGTAAATGCAATCATCTGGTACGTTCCCTCTTCGTCGACCAGTAATTCCAAAAGTCCTTGTTCTTGAAGTTTCTTTAAACTTGATCCAATGGTTGCTCTTGCAATTTTTCGAGGTTGTAATTTTCTTTTGAGATTTCGGACTTCTGCCGTTGTCATATAAACGTGAAAAGAATCTAAGAAAAGCGTGTAAAACAAAAAAAGACAATATACTCTGTATGTATTCCTTTAGCATGAACTCCTGAGGGTCTGCCTTAAGATGTTCTTTGATGGCGGCTTGTTGATCAGCATTCAGCCGACGATTGCGTCGGTAAACATTTCCAGAGGAACCCGATATCGGGTGGTTATGCCTCATGTCGAAGCGCCCAATGAGCAACTGGTCTTTGCGGCAAGTGACGTAGATAACTGACTTACAACCTGTTTTCAGAGTTCTTTAAATTTTTTATTAGAGGATATGTAGTTACTTGTTTTCGTGACCATCCATGGCCCGCTTGCTATATCCATAGTGAAAACATTCATAGTTGAACTTTTTGTACACTAATCGTCGTTTGTCAGGTTCCTCTTTCGACCATGGACAGGTATGTCTTTTAGCGTACATGCAGCCCGTTTTCTTAACAAAATGTAAATAAAACAATGATTGCCATACGGCCTGGAATTCCTCCATCTTTGAGTCAAGTTCAGCGAATGAATTGAAAACCAAGGAGGGAAACATCTTCATAAACAGTAACGTGTAATCGGTTATGACGGCATATTCTACAAAAATGCCAGTTTGGTTAAATAATACCTTCGGTTTCCGATATCTCCACAGGCAAACTTCTCACTTCGTGGTTATGCACCATGTCATATTTTGATACATAGAGGAACCCATTTCGACAACCAACCGTAAAAAACGCCGAGCATTGAGTTCCAGTGCTGCAAAAATGAAAGATAGGAAACACCTACCGTTGCTTGTTTTCGGTACATACATAATGAATGGACTTATACACTAAGGTATCTCTTCGAGGTGAATCAAGGGGGAACAAGAAAGTCCTTTTAAATATAAATCTCGAGCCAGTCGACTACAAGAGTAATAACCAAAGCACACTCACTTCTTGAAAATCAGAAAGACTCTTTTGAAACTCAGAAAATGTCGAAAATTGGTTATTGCAGAACACAGTTGCAAATGCATGAGTGTGGTCCATTTATCGGCACAAGTGAAAAGCGCAGGACCCAATATTGTGCTTGTGACTTGTGTTTACCGTCTGAATTTCAGCCTAGTATAAAACAGATGCACTCTATAAATGTTATGCGCTTTTGTTTTGTGCAATTTTATTTTAACTTTTATCAGTTTGCTCCTGCTTATTTCAGACTTTTTCTTGTCGCTTTGCGAGAGGCGTATCTGGGTCTTCATCTACCCATATAAGAGGACAACAAAGACCAATTTATGGCCACCCATGATTGGCTTCAGCAGAGTCTGCTAGTATAGCTATGGCTTGATTCATGAGGGTGTGCTTAGTTTGTCTACGTCAACTAGTTTTTTGGGGGACTTCAGGTCGGTAGTTTGTGTGTTGTATCCAAAGTGTTTAGTGATTGTGTCAGCATGACAGACTGCCTCATCTTCAGATAACTACGTTTTTCGTCGAGTCGCGGAAATAATTAATGTTTGTACCAAATAAGACACAAGAACAAGAGCACCCCATCAACCCAGTATAGATGAACGTGTGTTTTTACTTACATCCTCCACCGTGCCTCTGTCCAAACATGGCCAGCCTACGTCAGTTGAGGAATTTAGGCTAATAAACACATTTCCCTTAGCCTTTAAGATCCAGAAAAACTTGGTCAGAGACAAAATGTTTTGTCACCTAAAAGATAACAACCTTCTTAATGCAAAAAAATATATGTTGTGACACCTGCCAGCCCTCTTTCTTTGATAATATGCTACGATGTAAAGACAGCGGCTGCGTACTTTACACGGTTTATTTAGATTTCGTTTAGGCTTCTGATCGTGTCGACCTCGATCACCTGCTTTTGAAAATTGCCTCTTTCGGCACAGCTAGCAATATTGCGAATTTAATAGCTTCCTAGTTGGGTGCTCCGACGCCATTTAAAATTTCTAATGTTATCTCCAAACCCACGCATATGAAGAGTCGAGTTATTCAAGGTAGCGTGCATGGTCTGGTTTTATTTGACCTTTTTGTCAACAATATTCCTGATTGCTTTCGGTGTGCTAGGTTTTTATGTATGCCTACGATTTAAAAGTTGCCTAACAATATAAAGTTGCAAGTCTTAACATCTTAAGAAAATTATCTTCTGATGTTTGTCCAGTCTTGCTGCACATTGCGACTTTCCCTTTTGGCACAAATGTTCCGTTATGGTTGTTAGCGACGTTCATCAGCCTCAAGTAAGCATGGACGGTCACGACCTTAATGTGTCCAGTGTTATTAAAGATCTGGGCATATCATATTGTAATAGTCTGGTGCGGAATACCAGATCCATATCGCCGAAGGAAGACCGACCACGCCGTGCACCTTATGTCACGCCAAGAACTCCGGTAATTCACCTAGCTGCAGTTTTTCCTCGAAAATCACTAGAGAGAATGACTGGGAGTTTTTTTTTCATTATCAGCTCTATCCTCTACTCTAAATCCCTTTTGACTTTGCCTGTAAACTGGCAACCAAAAATAACTCAAATTAAATCGAAGGCTACGAATTTGGCCAGGAACCTTGATCATCTGCCTTATGAAGGCAGATTGACTGAAATTAATTTATTTCCTCTCAATTATAGGCAACTCTGCGGCGACCTCAGGGGCATTGGAGCGTGGAACGGACTCCCTGTCGAGGTGGTCCTCTCAGATACTGTTGACACTTTTAAACGCAAAACTGATTCTCATTTGCTGAGAAACTATGACAGATATAATGAACATAGTGTCAGTAGCAGCAGTTTGCAACTGGCTCACACCTATCGCTGATGTTAAGCCTATATTTGTATTATGTACTATTGTTTAGGTTGAACTCGTTTGCAATTTTGGATATGAATAGGGTGCTCAAGGGCGAGAACCTTTTTCTCTTAATAAAAGTGACTTAAAGTGGTTTGGCTGAAATACTCCCTTATCCTAAAACAAATACCGTTCAAATACTCTCCTCTTCTGGATCCTTATCCTTATACTAACTCTCCTTTAACCACAATGTTCACCGTAAGGTTACTTTAAACCCAACATCAACCTTAAGCTTGGCCCTTACCGTAATTGCCCTGGGATTTGTCTCATTGTCACCTACATTACTGATTGTTCGTTCCCGCATGCTCGGTCGGGGAGGGGCATATAAGCAAGCCATAAAGAATGAATGTCGGGCAGGGATCCATAGAGGGGTTCTCAAAGGGAGATACTGGAACCTAATTGATACAAACCACCAAGTGGACGCGAGAGGAGCCTTTCGAGTCATACTACACGCCGACAAACTACTCTAAAGGCCTGCGCAAAGGGGTGTTATCCACAGCAGAGGCAGTGGCAGTCAGGTTAGCAAAACTCACTATATGCTGCCAGAAGGCGCTGGTGCAAGCAATCTGCCTCCCTTGACCGACTGCTCGCCGAAATCCCACGCCCCTTGTAGCCACTTCGTCCAAAAACACACAAAACGAAGCCACAGAGAATACTCAAGCACAAGCTGCGCGGCTGACATACAGACCTCCAACCGTTGAGTGTGAGAACACCCCGTACTTTTCTACGCATCGTTACCAACGTCCTACCCGCGCTGGCACCCGCATTCAGGAGACGAGGTAAAACCCAGATACTTAATAACACTCAAGCAAGCCACGGTCAGCTAGCAGTAGTCGTAAACCCAGCATTTGTTAAGTGCATATTTTGTAGTCCCTTCATTGCGATGGTCCCTCAAAAGGCCTGCTTATTCGTCCCAGACGGCTGCCGAACTCCACTATAGGGCACGGTTATGGGTTTATTAAGAGAAGGAGCCTATGATCTGGGCCGCCTTCGTATTTGCATTTCGCACTCGCCGTAGGACTTTGTGACCGTGGGGGGTGTGGATTGGGCAGAGGATGAGGGCGAGGGACTGGGAGAAAGAAAAACGGGAGGCGGAGAAAGAGGGAGGATAAGAGTGTACGACAGAAGAGGGTGGAATAGAAAAGGGACAGCGGGGGTAGGGCTAGTAGAAATGGGGGGAGGGGAGCGTGGATAGTGAGAACGTTAATAGATTAGAGTATAGGTGTTAGTGATAGTATTAAAAACGGCAGCAGTAGCAAAAGTAGTAGTATTATTAATTGTAGTAGAAACTCTAATACTGTTACCGCTGCTCCTAATGCTTCTAAGACTACTGATAATACTGAGATAGGTACTACTACTATCCAGTCATGGTAACTATTACTTATACTATTATTGTTACAGTTAATAGTCACAGTAGTGTTAGCATTAACAGAAGCAGTAATAGAAGAGGTAGTAACAGTGGTATTAGTAATAGTAGTAGTTATCAAATTAGCATTAATAGTCGTAGCAATAGCAACAGTTGTAGTCCAATAGTAGGGGAGGAAGCATATCATGCATGGGGAAGCCACAAACGTCAGAATCCCCTAAACAGGTTAAGCCCGCCGGTCGAGGAGGTTACCAGGGAGTGGCTGCTAGGCAAAGCCTAGCTCCGTGGCACCAAAAGTGCGAGCTGGGTGTCAGCTCAGGATGCTATATGTAGCCAACACTTCCTCGGGCCAGATGATGTGACCTACAACGACATTCAAGTAGAAT